ACAGAGCCTGGGAAGAGTAGCAGGGACATGAGAAATCAGGACAGAGCAAACCAAGCAGAAGAAAAATGAAAAGTAGCATTCTTCTTGTCAGGAAAGGGCAGGGACCGTACCAAGACAAGCTCAGAATCAAGGAGGTGAGTCTGATAGGACAAAGCTTAAAACAGCTTCTAAGGAAAAGAAATTTAAGACAGGAAAAAGACTGACCTCAACATCGGCCACCTTCATGCGGGTACCTTCCTTGCCCACAAAGATGTCATCGATGTCTACCAAGATGTAGCGGTCAAGGTCCAGGCAGAGGCGCTTGCCGGTGAGGTACGCAACAGCATCAACGAAAACAAGTTTGTGGAGCCAGAAGGAAAGGCCGTGGCCAAAGAGCACCCGCTGGATGCCATCATGAAGCCCCAGGTCCTGTACCACAGTGGGGAGCCGGGCCCGGCGAGGCACTGGTCCCGGCACAGGGGGCTCAGCTGGCCGAAGGCTGGCAAGAAGCACTGGTTCATATGTGCTATGATTGGACTGGAAGATGGTCCAGTCATCACCAGGCAGTGGCCCAGGCTCCAGGCGGCTGGGGCGTGTCAGATGCAGTAGCGGGGCAGAAGGATTCACTTGGTAGTCTCGGAGCCCCACATTTGAGTGTAGAAAAAGGGGAAAGCCCTTGAGCTGGGCACTCAGTAGGCTATGCTCATGGGCTCGGAAAAAGCCAATGATGCCCACACCATACTCCACACAGTACCGGTCTAGCAGTTCCCGACTCCAAGCATCCAGGTTGACATACTTGAGCAGGTTCTCATAAATGACCAAGACATAGCGGCCACGGGTATGATCAGTCAGTGTGGGCATGTCCCCTCGGCCAGGTGCCAGCTCAGTGCTGTAACGAAAACGACTAGACTCCAAGATGGCCACAATCTCCTGTCCCAACTGTGAGTATGCACTCTCCACAAACACAAGGACCACGGGTTCAGTTCGTGCTGTTTCTGGAGGCCTGGGGGGCCGGGGTGGAACTGGAGGCCGTGCAGGGCCAGGACCAGCTGCCCCACCACTGCTGCAGTCTCCCAAGGGCAGGGGCAATGGTTCCTTGGCCTTAGGGCTGGTGGATACATAGTAAGCCAAGAAGCCCATGGAGCCCAGACTGAAAGCAATCAGCAGCAGTATGAGGCGGTGCAGTTCCAGCTGCCGAGCTGGGCGCACCACCTTCCACAGCTTGAGCATGGCGGGGGAGGTAAGGCAGGGATGGGGACCACCTCAGGGGATGGGAGGTAGGAGTTCTATAGGCTGGGACTCTCTGGGAGGGTAGAAGGATACAAAAAGAGGGGAAAGGGATTCTCACAGGGTCAGCTCCCTGGAAGGGTGGAAACAAGTCCCCTTAGTATAGGGTAGGGGAGGTAGAAGGGGCAACAGGGAGCAACTGGACAGAGTCCATTGGTCTCAGGTCACCATAGCCCACTGGCCCATGGCTTCAGGATGCAAATCTAGCCAGGATCCACCTTTGGTCCTGGACGAACTCCTCACATCAGAGGTCAGCAAAGTTCACGGTCTCTCTGCTCACTATCTGTAAGAGAGATCAGTGGGTTACTTCTCTCCTTGAAACTGTCAGTAATCCATTCCCCTCTTCAACCCATCTCTCTTACCTCCTGCTCACAAGATGATTTGTTCTCCAAAAAAAAGCTCCTGTAGAAGAACAACACAATCTGAGTCTCATACCTTAGCTTCACAGCTTGTACCCTCTCTTAGAATACTGGCTAAATTCTCCTCCCTGAGTTAAGTTCAGAACTGAAGCAGTATATTCGAGGTCTGGAAGGGAACAAACCTCCAAGCAACAAGGGGCCAAACGGTCCAGGAGGCTGAAAATGAACCTGCTCTAAAAGGAGTTCCCAGCCCATGACTGAGCAGTTGGCCAGCCAGCAGATCTGGCCTTCCTGTGAAGCAGGGACGGAAAGCCCCAGAAGTCCCATGCTCCAACGAAATTATCAGTTAAGAGGAAACTCGTGTTTGCTAATCTTCCTCATCAAGTAAACCCAACATCACAAACGAACAGCACTAACGAACTTGCAGTCAGATGGACACTATGGTGGGGAAAGAGAAATGGCGCTAGCTAATCATTCTATTACCTTCCAAGCCCAGAACTTGGGGATTCTCTTTTCCATTGCTTGTGAGAAATTACCCATCCCTGCCCTTTACCTCACCTGTGCCAGTGTCAGGAGGGATGGTAAAAATGTAGCCCCAGAGCGGGCCATATCACTGGGACCTAAGAAAAGCTAGAGAGTTGAGTCCAGAGTCTCTCTCCTTATCCACTCCAGTTCTTCCTAACTGAGCCTAGGTGGTACTACAGCCTCATCCCTGAACAGCTAAGACAGGTCTTGAGCTAGCCTAGAGAAACATGAGGGACTGAGCCGTTACAGAACCAGAGCAAACTGAGTAGGGCTGGGTGACAGAGAGCAACACGAGTATCCAAGCAAAAACAGAAAAGCAGTAGGGACAGTATGACCAGAAAATAGTTTTAAGAAGAACTAATTCTGGAAACTTTTTTCCTTAAGCAGGTAACTGCTTCTAGCTTTACTGTCACTCTCCCCACCTGAGCCACTCCTAGTAAGGCCAGTGGCTGGCAGTCTCTACCATCCACCCACAGACACACACATCTCAGGGTGATTAAGTGGAGATAGGGTCCTTCAGAACTGACAGACAATTTAAAAATGGCTCAGCTCAGGCCTGGGTAAAACAAATCAGTATGAAAAGGGAACTGAGAGAGGACCAAAATAGTGATGGGAAGGGATGAATCCTAAGAATTAGAGTAAATTCTTTGTGGAAAACAGCAGTGAGAAGACATCACTGTGGGGCAGTAGATATTGGGAGTATACCATCCATAATGTTAAAAATAGTTCACATTTACTCAGGGTTTACTCTTTGTCAGCCATTCTTCTAAGAGCTTTTCACATATTTAATGCTCACAGCAGCCCTAACAAGTAAGTAAGTAGATACTATTACTATCCCCACTTCACATGTGTGTCATTCGAGGTCCAGAGAAGCTTAATAACTTGCCCAGGATCACACAGCACAGTCAGTGAAGGAACTGGGATTCAAAGTCAGGCCTGTCAAGCTCCACAGCTCTGCTCTTAACCACTGCATTTTAGCTTCGGACCTAGAAGAAGCAGCAATATTAAGTGAAGGGGTGCTGAGGAAGGATTGGGGGAGGGTGTGGGCGGAATGATAAATACTGAAGTGAGATCCAAGGTGGAAGCCGGTGGTGGGCGCGAGGGGATGCTGAATGGATGTGCAGTAGTGGAAGGTTTCTGCGGAGAAACCAAAGGGGTCACCCAGGCCCAGATGGCAGAGAGCAATGGTGGTGGGACCGGGGAGGCGGGGCTGTGGGCCCCGCGCTGGGAGACCAGCAGTGCAGATGCCGTGGGAGGGGGACCGAGTGGTCATCCGGGCGAGGGGGGCTGGCACACGGGATCAAGGATGGAGGGGCCTGCCGGGGGAATGTGGGGTCACAGGTGGGGAAGGAAGGAGCAGGACGCGGAGCACTGGAGGGGAAGGGCAAGGGGCGCGCTCAGGAGGGTCGGCGGTCACATCTGCGCGGGCGTCTGACTGGGAGAGCCCCGAGGGGAGGAGGAGGCCCAAGCTGAAGAGACTGAGGCCACCAGCAAGGCTGCTAGTGGAAGGGACGGCGCGGGGAGCGCGGGACGCCACTGCGGGCGGTTTCGGCGGCCACACGGAGGGAAGTCTGTG